GTCTACACCCACATGTGATGCTAAGCCTCCATGATTGAAACCCAGGGACAGGCAGGTGAGGGAAAGAGCTAGATGATACCGGATGTCCTCCAGCCAGTAAAGCAGTGACTTCCTGCCGCTTCCAATGAACACTATGAGAAGCTCACAGTGTGCAGCAAAATCAATTTCAGTCCTGGAGAGGAGCCCATACAACTGGGCCAGACTGAAGGGGCGGCTCATATACATAAAAAAAAAAGAAAGAAAAATTAAAATAAAACAGATTTTTTTATACTTTGTTTCTTTATAACTGAGACTGAGAGTTGATCATTGCAGGGGCGGACTGACCATTTGGAAACTCAGGCACTGCCCGAGGGCCCGGGGTCAGTAGGGGGCCCCATGAGATGCCACTGGTACCTTTTTCATAGGCATTTTTTGATTTTGGGCAAAGACACAGGGGCCCCATGATCCCCTATTGCCCGGGGGCCCCATGAGTTGTCAGTCTGCCCCTGCAGGGGCCCCATGATCCCCTATTGCCCGGGGGCCCCATGAGTTGTCAGTCCCCCTGCAGGGGCCCCATGATCAGGGGCCCCATGATCCCCTATTGCCCAGGGGCCTCATGAGTTGTCGGTTTGCCCAGGGGCCTCATGAGTTGTCGGTTCGCCCCTGCAGGGGCCCCATGATCCCCTATTGCCTGGGGGCCCCATGATGAGTTGTCAGTCCGCCCCTGATCAGCCTGGGGGCCCCATGAGTTGTCCCCCCCTGCAGGGGCCCCATGATCCCCTATTGCCTGGGGGGCCCCATGAGTTGTCCGCCCCTGGATCATTGCTGAGGGAATTGCACTTTCCTGTATTGGCAGATGTCACTTCTGAAAGGTGACAACATCTGTTATAAATATCATGTGAGTACATTTATAAATAGACAGTAAAGGACAGCAGTTACAACTTACTACACTGTTGTGGCTGCTTCATATCCATTTTATTTATTATCCAATGACCCAATATTGTGGCTTTTTATGTTTTATGGACTACAAAGCATTACAGAACTGAAGACAGATAATTGGATTTTAACAAGCAAGTATAAAAATTTTATTAACAATTTTTTTTTTATTATTGGCAAATTTCAATATTTGTACTAGCACTGTAGGACAATTGTGCCTTGATAGCAGACAGTTTTAAAGTTAGGGGTTTGATTGCCTTTTACATTTTTTTTAACATTTTAATTGAAAGTTATTTTTTTTTATTTTTTCACAAATATTCTGCAACAGAAAAAAGTGCAACTGACAACTTTTTATTTTTAGTATAAACATTTTGACAGGTTTTTTTTTTTTATTATTGGCATTCAATATTTGTACTAATAACAGCACTATGTTACAATGCAGGGGCGGACTGACCATTCGAGCACTCGGGCACTGCCCTAGGGCCCAGGGTCAGTAGGGGGCCCCATGAAATGCCCCTGTTACCTTCTTTTTAGGCTTTTTTGGGTGTGCTTTGAGTGTGGGCAAAGACACGGGCCCCATGATCCCCTATTGCCCAGGGGCCCAATGAGTTGTCAGTCTGCCCCTGGTACAATGTGTGTCTTAATAGCAGACAGTTTTAAAGTTAGGGGTTTGGTTGACTTTTGAAATTTTTTAAAATGGGTAAGTTGAAAGTTATTTTTTCTTTTTTTCACAAATATTGTGCAACATAAAAAATTGCAACTGTCAACTTTTTATTTTTTTAGTATAAACATTTTATATTGACAGTTTTTTTTTTTTATTTATTTGGCATTCAATATTTGTACTAATAACAGCACTATGGTACAATGTGTGTCTTAATAGCAGAAAGGTTTAAAGTCTAGGGTTAGGTAGACTTTTTAATTTTTTTTTTTATTTAAAATGAATTTTTTTTTTTTTACAAACTCTATATAAACAAAAAGAAAATCAGCATGCGGTGGAGTTTGAAATGTAAGTAGGCCTAGGTAGACCAAGAGGTAGACAAAATATTGTGCAACATAAAAAATTGCAACTGACAACTTTTTACTTTTAGTATAAACATTTTATTGACAGGTTTTTTTTTTAAATTATTGTCATTCAATATTTGTACTAATAACAGCACTATGGTACAATTTGTGTCTTTAATAGCAGAAAGGTTTAAAGTCTGGGGTTGGGTAGGATTTTTTTATTTATTTTTTTTTATTTGAATTGAAAGTTGTTTTTTACAAACTCTATATAAACAAAAAGAAAATCAGCATGTGGTGGAGTTTGAAATGTAAGTAGGCCTAGGTAGACCAAGAGGTAGCCAAAATATTGTGCAACGTAAAAAATTGCAACTGACAACTTTTTATTTTTAGTATATAACATTTTATTGACAGTGTTTTTTTTTTTTAATTATTGGCATTCAATATTTGTACTAATAACAGCACTATGGTACAATGTGTGTCTTAATAGCAGACAGTTTTAAAGTTAGGGGTTTGGTTGACTTTTGAAATTTTTTAAAATGTAAGTTGAAAGTTATTTTTTATTTTTTTTTCACAAATATTGTGCAACATAAAAAAATTACAACTGCCAACTTTTTATTTTTAGTATAAACATTTTATTGACAAGTTTTTTTTTTATTAATTGGCATTCAATATTTGTACTAATAAATAGCACTATGGTACAATTTGTTGGGTCTTAAATAGCAGAAAGGTTTTAAAGTTGGGGTTAGGGTATTCTGTACTTTTTAATTTTTTTTTTTTTTTAAATTGAAAGTTTTTTTTTTTTTTACAAACTCTATATAAACAAAAAGAATATCAGCATGTGGTGGAGTTTGAAATGTAAGTAGGCCTAGGTAGACCAAGAGTTGTTTGCCTCTGTCAAGAACCTTCCACCCTAGGAGGTTTGGGAATGCAGACCCATACTCTTCAGAGATCGGTCCTATTCTGTACCTTCATGCATTGCAGAGCTTCGACTTAGGTAGACCAAGAGTTTCTTGCCCCGTCAGGAACCTTGCACCTGGAGAGGTTCGGGAATGCCATCCCTTCTTCAGAGGTTGGTCCTAATCTGTGCCTTTGTGCACTGCAGGACTCTATAAACAAAAAGAAAATCAGCATGTGGTGGAGTTTGAAATGTAAGTAGGCCTAGGTAGACTCAGCGTTCTTTATCTCTGTCAAGAACCTTGCACCCTAGGAGGTTCGGGAATGAAGGCCCATATTCTTCAGAGATTGGCCCATATTCTTCAGAGATCACTTGTCAGCATGTGGTGGAGTTTGAAATGTAAGTAGACCTATTGTATACAAAAACAAAATCAGCATTTGGAGTTTGAAATGTAAGTAGGCCTAGGTGCATGCACCCTAGGAGGTTTGGGAATGCAGGCCCATATTATTCAAAGATAAAATTTTCTATAAAATAAGCTCTGAAAATGGTGGAGTTTGAAATGTAAGTAGGTCTAGGTAGACAAAAAAGGTCTTTGTTGCTGTCAAGAACCTTGCATCATAGGAAGTTCGGGAATGCAGGCCCATCCTCTTCAGAGATCGGTCCTATTCTGTACCTTCCTGCATTGCAGGACTCTATAAACAAAAAGATCGGTCCTATTCTGAAAATCAGCATGTGGTGGAGTTTGAATTGTAAGTAGGCCTAGGCAGACCAAGAGTTCATTGCTACTGTCAAGAACCTTGCACCCTAGGAGGTTTGGGAATGCAGGCCCATCCTCTTCGGAGATCGGTTCTTTTCTGTACCTTCATGCATTGCGGAGCTTCGACTTTGGTAGACCAAGAGTTCTTTGCCCTGTCAGGAACCTTGCACCTGGGGAGGTTTGGGAATGCCTTCCCTTCTTCAGAGGTTGGTCCTAATCTGTGCCTTTGTACAAGGCGGAACTCTATAAACAAAAAGAAAGGCAGCATGTGGTGCAGTTTGAAATGTAAGTAGGCCTAGGTAGACCCAGCGTTCTTTATCTCTGTCAAGAACCTTGCACCCTAGGAGGTTCGGGAATGAAGGCCCCTATTCTTCAGAGATCGGTCCTATTCTGTACCTTCGTGCACTGCGGAACTCTATAAACAAAAAGAAAATCAGCATGTGGTGGAGTTTGAAATGCAAGTAGGTCTACAGTAGGTACACCAAGAGTTCTTTTCCTGTCAAGAACCTTGCACCCTAGGAGGTTCAAGAATGCAGGCCGATCCTCTTCAGAGATCAGTCTTATTCTGTACCTTCGTGCACTGTGGAGCTCAGTAAACAAAAAGAAAATCAGGCATTTCTCTTTACAGCGTGGGCATAGCTGGACCCTGTAGTCTATAGAAAGCATGGGGCTCCTGTGTCCTTCCCCAAACTAAAAAAAGCCTATGAAAAAGGTTCCAGGGGCATCTCATGGGGCCCCCTACTGACCCTGGGCCCTCGGGCAGTGCCGGAGTTTCCAAATGGTCAGTCCGCCCCTGATAGAAAGGGTCACTTTACGGGGATCCCTTAAAAATGTAGGGCTAGTGATGGGTTAAGGTGAACTTCTATACTTAGCATTCATTTTTTAATATTCTACTACTTTTTCCTTCCAGTAAACTGATGCCTCCCCCCAAAGATGGCGCCAGATCATTTACATAAAGCAGCTTTCAATTCACGCCAAAACATCAATTTGCACAAAATGTGAATCTTTGTAAAAGACAAACATTTCTAGATCTAATGCAAAGTGAAAACCATGGAAACTTTTATATTCTTTTTAAAGCATGCTTTAAAAAAATTAGTTTCGCAAATGAGTTTGTATGATTAAAATACGGTGCTTTTTGTTATACTGCAGTGTATATAATTATCATAATTACATATATTTTGTACCAAAAGTTGCCAGATTTCAGGTTTTCCAAGTATTTTCATTTTCTTTTATTTATTTTCTTTTAACACCAATGAGAACATCATGACATCAAACCATTTACGTGGACACAAACGCTGGGTCTTCAGTAAGGGTCTAGATATGACCATGGTTTCATTAGTGGTCAGGGCCAGGTGAAAATGATAATAAATAGCATAAATACATTTATAACATGTTCATCTAATCCACAGATCTCTTGTACTCTGTGTCAGGATGGAATTTGGCTCCGGGATCTGGATGTACTTTGTGATCACAGTGCTGTCTCAGGTTTGGATGGGTAAGCAAAATTAACTTCAGCCTAACTTTGGTTCAAGGGTTCCCGAAAAGGGTTCTATGGGAAGAGCTGCTCATTAACTCACAGCAACTATTATTAGCATTTTATAAATTGATTTCTTATTGGCTACTAAGGCCTACTGCATACAATATCTCTTTGTGTATAGTTTTGGGGTTTTTTTTTGCTGTCACATTATGGAAAGCCAACCTTCTGTGGTACGGTGTCACTTATAGGACACCATCCTTCATCCAACATCCAAGCCCATCTTAATCTTCTATCTGATTTTTATTATTATCGGGGCTTTTCTTCGCGACGAATAGGTGCAGGAACTCCCCCTTTGAGTCACTTCTTGTCTTTCCCTCCCTCTACCCACTTTCAAGCACAGTTCCTTGGTTCCACCCCTTACCCACCTCCCAGTACTGCTCCTTATACAGAATTCAGAGCCAAGTATCATTTAGTGGTGCTAAGAAACTTGTATGGAATTTGTTAACAATAAAATCAATAATCCCCCCCCCTTCTCCAGCAACAGTAGATTCCCCCAGCAACAACAGACCCCCGGCAACTATAGACTGCCACACAAAAATTGATCACCTCCAATGAAAACAGATCCCATAGAATCCAGCAGACATACAACTCCAGCAACAATAGGCCCCCAGCAGTAACAACAGATGTCCTGGCAATTAGCATCAATAGACTCCAGTAGCCAGAAACAATAGGACCCTGCCTCAACAGTAGATCCCTTCCAGCAACAATAGACCCCAGCAGCAATAGACTGCCACACAAAAATAGATCACCTCCAATGAAAATAGAGCCCCCAGGATCCAGCAGAAATACCATTCCAGCAACAATAGACCCCCAGCAGCAACAACAGATGTCCCGGCAGCCAGCATCAAAAGACTCTCCAGTAGCCAGAAACAATAGAACCCTCCCTCAACAGTAGATCCCTTCCAGCAACAATAGAGCCCCCAGAAACAATAGACTGCCACACAAAAATAGATCACCTCCAATGAAAATAGATCCCCCCCAGGATCCAGCAGAACAGACCTTCCAGCACACCCCAGCACCCCTTGCCATTACATATATTCAGTGATGGAGTTGCCGAAATCCCCCACGTTCCTGCTGAAAAATTCCCTGATTATTATTATTATTATAGAGTGGCAACAGTTTACGCAGCGCTTTACAACATAAGGGCAGACGATACAATTACAATACAAATTAATACAGGAGGATTCAGAGGGACCTGCTCATTGGAGGGTGGAGAGATACAAAAGATAATAACTGTGGGGGATGGGCTGATGGACAAAAAACATGTACAGTTGTTAGGTGGGTGCAGGATAGGCCTCTCTGAGGAGATGGGCTTCCAGGGATCGTCCAAAAGCGGAGAGAGATGGAGATAGTCAGACACACTGGGGAAGGGAGTTCCAAAGGATAGGAGAGGCTCTGGAGAAATCCTGGAGGTGAGCATGGGAGAAGGTGACAAGGGAGCTAGAGAGCAGGAGATCTTGGGAGAAACGAAGAGAGTCTATCAACTGACTCCAGCAATAGGACATAATCCCACACAACTACACCAATGATATGGCACAATTTCTCCCACTGATACCAACGATGGGGCACTACTCCTCCCACTGATACCAACGATGGGGCACTACTCCTCCCAGTGATACCAATGATGGGGCACTATTCCTCCCAGTGATACCAATGATGGGGCACTATTCCTCCCAGTGATACCAATGATGGGGCACTATTCCTCCCACTGATACCAATGATGGGGCACTATTCCTCCCACTGATACCAACGATGGGGCACTATTCCTCCCACTGATACCAATGATGGGGCACTATTCCTCCCACTGATACCAACGATGGGGCACTATTCCTCCCACTGATACCAACGATACCAACGATGGGGCACTATTCCTCCCACTGATACCAACGATGGGGCACTATTCCTCCCACTGATACCAACGATGGGGCACTATTCCTCCCACTGATACCAACGATGGGGCACTATTCCTCCCACTGATACCAACGATGGGGCACTATTCCTCCCACTGATACCAATGATGGGGCACTATTCCTCCCACTGATACTAATGATGGGGCACTATTTCTCCCACTGATACCAATGATGGGGCACTATTTCTCCCAACATGATACCAATGATGGGGCACTATTTCTCCCACTGATACCAATGATGGGGCACTATTTCTCCCAATGACACTAATGATGGGGCACTATTCCTCCCCGAAGACATCATAAATGGGGCACTATTCCTCCCACTGATACCAATGATGGGGCACTATTCCTCCCACTGACACCAATGATGGGGCACTATTCCTCCCATTAGTGATGGGGCACTATTCCTCCCACTGATACCAATGATGGGGCACTATTCCTCCCAATGACACCAATGATGGGGCACCCTCCCCACTGATACCAATGATGGGGCACTATTCCTCCCAATAACACCAATGATGGGGCACTATTCCTCCCACTGATACCAATGATGGGGCATTATTCCTCCCACTGATACCAATGATGGGGCACTATTCCTCCTAGTGATACCAATGATGGGGCACTATTCCTCCCAATGACACTAATGATGGGGCACTATTCCTCCCACTGATACCAATGATGGGGCACTATTCCTCCTAGTGATACCAATGATGTGGCACTATTCCTCCCAATGACACTAATGATAGGGTACAATTCCTCCTGAAGATACCATAAATGGGGCACTATTCCTCCCCCAATTACCAAAGATGGAGTCTTATTTACCCTCCCTGTCACCAATACATTTTCTACTTCTATTCTCCCGAGTCCGACCACATACACTTTGAAAAAAACAGATACCGTATTAAAACACCTAATCTTTCTACTGAGTAAGTATCTTTTTTTTTCTTAAGTGATATGGAAAGTTTTTCATTTCAACGTATTTTCTCAAGGAGGCTGCCTTCATGTTAAATTCATTAAATGAGAATGAGAGTTTCTTGATATTTTAAGAAGAATAATTCCTATTGGGTTAGATCACAAATCGGACCTCAGTCTGCAAGCATGGTCTTTGTGTCCACACCATATTTAGCTTTTAAATCCAACCATGATTCATTGTATTCCAATCTAGGAGCTCCACAAATACTTTGAAACACAAGTGTTTCCTTTGCGGACTTCTGAGGCTTAGTCATGCCCTGATAAATTGGGTATTTTTAAAGCCTTTGAGTTTTGCTGTGCACAGTGCATATTATATATTGTACCTGCATCTTTGAAATACATTTGCCTGGTTTTGTTTTTCATCCTGTTTTGAAATTGTATTCATATATCTATATATAAATGTATAATATATGTATGAGATGACTGATGTCTGATCAGCTGCACAGTCAGGACAAACATCTGCCCCTCTACAGCACGAGGATCTGGAGATGCCGACCATTCCCCACGACCAACTCTGAGAGCCCCGTAACAGAGCACTTTGATTGGTTATGCTTATGTTCGTTTTGTGCTATGACACTTGGATTAGTTTTATTCTCATCTAAGAGCCAATGGAAGTTTAGTTCAGTTGAAAACAGTATTGATCTCTGTCACTTGAACTTATAGCTTGTGTGACCAGATTTGAAAAAGTTGAAACCTAATGGCATTGCCATCAATGCAAATTTCCAGATACTACAGAAATACTAAATAATTATTATTATTATACCGTATTTATATAGCGACAAAAGAGGATGCAGCGCTATGAAATTCTCAACAATATTATAAATCAAAATTAAAATTAAAAAATTAAAAAGAAAACACAGTGACAATGTGCACACAAAAAAGGCCACTATGCAGTGGCTATGAAGTGAAGGAAGTGTTGATAAAAATCAATAAGTCCAAACAGGAGTGCTCATGAGATCTCAGACGATCTTCAGACGTCTAATATGTGGAACCATAAAAAGGTGATGGATAATGTAAAGATTGCGCACTCACCAGATACGCAATCTTAATGCGCATTTGTATAGAGACCACTGAGCATCTGGTGTCATCCAACTGGTCTGGTCAGATCTGGTCATGTTACTCTCACTGCCTGGTGCCGTCACGCTAGAGTTTAGGTAGACGTGGCTGCTCTGTAAACCTGATTGGTTCTCAAAAGAACTCAAACAAACAGAGAGAGCCACATAGTGTAATATTCTTAAGGTATTTATTCAGTAAACAGGCATACATAGTAGCAGAGGTAACAAGAGATCCAATGTACTGACCAAGTGTATAATCAAGATGGCTGCCGGGGGGCCCCTCGTGGTGCAGGCGGCGTAGCGTCCCACCTGCTGTAGCTCCTTCTGACGTGTTTCGAGCGACTGCTCGTAGTCATAGGGGTGCAGCTTACAGTGGCGGACACTGATGTGACATTTAAAGCCACGTCTACCTAAACCAGCAATGGGCAAACTACGGCCCGCGGGCGGTGGACCTTTTAATCCGGCCCGCGGAGCGTGATTAAAAAAAAAAAAACAGCCAGGGCAGGCAAACATTAGCTGTCAGGATGTGTGTAGGCGGGGCAGCGTGACGAACGTGAGGGGAGCTAGGCTCCTCTCACAGTCCGCCCTGAAGACCGGAACGGCGCGGGAACACGGCGAGAGGAACGCGCGGAGCAAAGGTAAGTAAATTGACACAGGGGGGACTTGGCTTACTACTTGGGGGGGAATAGTACTATGGGGGATGAAATACTATATGAGGGGATGAATTACAATATGGGGGATGAATTACTATATGGGGGATGAATTACTATATGGGGGATGAATTACTATATGGGGGATTAATTACTATATGGGGGATTATTACTATGCTTACTATTACTATACTTACTATGGATGGCATGGTAGTGGCTGGGCCGGCCAGCAGCTAGTGGGGGGCATAAAAGTTTTGTAAAATAACTTTTTATGCTTTTCTACCTTAAATTAATCTAAACATTTAATGTTACAAATTTTAATTTAATTTATATTAATTCACACATACACATCATTCATCTACTCTTGGTCCGGCCCCCGGGTCCAATATATGAACCCATTGTGGCCCTCAAGTCAAAAAGTTTGTCCACCCCTGACCTAAACTCTTTACATTATCCATCACCTTTTTACAGTTCCACATATTAGACGTCTGAAGATCGTCTGAGATCTCATGAGCACTTCTGTTTGGATTTATTGATTTTATCAACACTTCCTTCACTTCATAGCCACTGCATAGTGGCCTTTTTTGTGTGCACATTGTCACTGTGTTTTCTTTTTAATATTTTAAATTTTAATTTTGATTTATATAATATTGTTGAGAATTTCATAGCGCTGCATCCTCTTTTGTCTCTGTGTTTTTGAAGGTTTTATATGGTGCCTTTTGGTGTACAGCTGCTATTTTACTTTTATATGAATTTAAGCGCTCACTTATTTTGTTTTTACAGTATTTATATATGCGCCAAAGGGTTTGCTTCACGCTGTACAATAGCAAGGGGACAGAACATGAGACAAGACAGAAACAATACAATACACGAGGGGTTCGAGGGCCCTGCTCTTTCGGGCTTACAATCTAGGAGTTGAGTGTTTGTAGAGACCCTACGTTCATCTGTCACTCATGTGGTTCCTCTCTCTCTAGGCAGCCAAGGTCAGAACGCTCAGGATGGGTATTCTCTCCAGGTGGACTCCAGTGTCATGGTCATACAAGAGGGTCTATGTGTTTCCATTCCATGCCAATTTACTGCTAATAACAGGAGGAAATTCATGAATAGCATCGGCTTCTGGAAGGTGGATTTGGAAACTACTGTGGCCTCCAATGATAAGTCCATAGCGGTAACAAAACAAAACTTTCACCTCGAAGGAGACCCAAATGTTGGGGACTGCACGCTGCGTATAGCTGATGCCACAAAACAAGATTCCGGGATGTACTTTTTCCGATTTGAAGAGAGCAAAGACAGTATCAACAAGTTTAATTATATGGCTAACAAAATAACTGTCCAGGTGACAGGTGAGCCCTTCTCTATCCTAGATGTTTGATCACTAATTGTATCTCAAAACTTGCCCATACAAAATACATTTGATTATGCTGCATGCTATGACCCCAGCCCTGTCTCAAAAATTATATCAAAGGCTGTGCCTGTAAAAGAAGGTCGTAATTCCTCACCTCACCAACCATATGGATGTCCATTGCAGATATATTGTCTGTTGAAGTCTGTTCAGAGTCTGGCACTTCTAGAAATTCTAGAATCTTCTGGTCCTTAAGGAACTCAGTGATTCCTCCCACTAACCTTTAGCATCACTAGTGGATACAGTACAGGATACAATAGTGACTTGGAGGTCAGCAAAAGGAAGTGCAGGAGACCAACACCACCAGTTTCAGGACGTACGTCAACAGGCAACATATCTTCAACAAAATGGTGTTTGATGGCATGGGCAGTGGTAGAGGTAAGTATTTACTCTTTTTGTTTTACAGGAAAAGCATTTGGGGCAATTTTAGCTTTGCTACAGAAATTTGTTGGTGGCCATTACAAACCTTCTGAAAACTACCAGTTACCGGTTTTTCTCTGTCTTCAATACTTTGTTACCAAATCTGATCTTCAAACCCAGAAAGTGCCGAAGAATTTTGAGATGACATCTCCAGAAAGAGTTCACCAATGGCTATCAGCTTATGTCTCTATGTACAGGGTAGGGAACAGGGGTGGACTGACAACTCATGGGGCCCCTGTGTCCTTGCCCAAACTCAAAAAAGCCTATGAAAAAGGTACCAGGGGCATCTCATGGGGCCCCCTACTGACCCCAGGCCCTCAGGCAGTGCCCAAGTTTCCAAATGGTCAGTCCGCCCCGGTAAGGAATGTTAGAACCCCTCTGAGGTTTTTACTGCTATGCTGGGATCTGATAAAGAGATTTACCCTCACTTTCTGTCAGTGTGACAACAGTTTCGTGAGACAGGAAATGAGGGAACGTGTGCCACAGACAGCAATACGAAGGTTAACCAAGTGTTGATAACCTGTCTGGCTGTCATCTTTCGATGAGACCCTTTTATTGTGAGAAATAAAACTTCAGACCTGGATTGATCCCTAAAGTAGATGGGTAGTATTTTGAATGAAAATTTTTAGGAAAAGAAGGTTCAAAGAAAATTTGTTCATTTTTTTTAATCCTTAGTGGGTCAAATCAACATTTGTTTTCAAGCATCATGAAGGGAAAAATCGAAGGAGCAAGAAGGAAAATGTTTCCTTGAAAGAACAAATTTCTAACAGTGTAAGGAAAATGTTTTTTCAATTGAATGAACGGGAAATTCGAAGGAGCCAGAAGAAAAATGTTTCCTTGAAAAACAAATTTCTAACAGTGTATATGGTTTTTCGTCTGGTAAAGTCCATTCATTCCAATGTCAAATGATAAAAGCAAACAAAAGCTTTCAACTGACAAAGGAATGTTCTGAGAATTTTTATAAAATTTTCTTAAACTGTTTGTAAAGGCTCAAGTTTTTTTTACCTTCATGCATTCTATGCATGAAGGTAATAAACCTTCTCTGCTGTGTCAATCACAGCCAGTGAGCCAATGAGAAGAGAGAGGAGGAAGGCTGAGCTGCTGCTTCATGAGTGAACGGACACATGGAGCAGCGGGTGCCCCCATAGCAAGCTGCTTGCTGTGGGGGCACCCGACAGGAGTTAGGGGCCAGGAACGCTGACGGGGGACCCGAGAAGAGGAGGATCCAGGCTGCATTGTGCAAAACCACTGCACACAGCAGGTAAGTATAGACATGTTTGTTATTTTTAGAAAAAAAATCTAAGCCTTTAGTAACTTTATGACTTTTCCTAAGAACCTTTGTTCAAAATTCTATCTATCTTTGGCCAGATTAAGGATGGAGCTCTCATTTATTTAGTCCATACTAGCTGATTCTCACAGGAACCCCAATGGGGCACCAAGGGGTAACAGCTGTCACACTACAGCAGTAATTTGATTTATTCAGAATCTCCACCAAGCTTGGAGACCAGGGCTCCGCCATGCAAATTTAACAATAAAAAGATTACAGGGGTTTTAGATTTTTCCTACTCTCCTGAAAATAATATTGTTTTTATTTCCACATGCCTTAATTTTAAAGTTTTTTCTTATTTGCTTCTGCTGAAATCCTTGTTACCACTCTACCCATTATATACAAAAGAATCTTTATGCCATGAGATCCATTATTTGTTGTTGTTATTATATTGCCTGTACATTGTATATGCTTTTTCCAAGGCAGATCTCACTCAGAAACCTGAGATCATTGTCATTGGGGAGATGGTCGCCAAAGAGGAAGTGAGATTGACCTGTATCCTTCCTGGAATCTGCTCAGCGCCAATAGTAAAATGGTGGAGGGACAATTCGGATGAAGTTTTGGAAAGCACATCTATGTCATTAACTCCAAGTCTGTGGGACCATGGATTGTCAATTACCTGCGAGGTGTCCTTACCAAAGGTGGACTCTTCTACTAGACAGACCCTCATCTTGGATGTTCAGTGTAAGTAGACCACAGTGGTTTTCCTTCTGCATACGTACCAAAAATTGATGGATTTCAATTGATTGTAACAATTTTGAGTTTAACCATTTGCTGCCCGCCCTATGGCCGAATGGCAGCCGGCAAATGTCATCAGCGTTCTTGGTGGACGCCACATGGCGTCCTCCCGCACATGCGCAGATTGCACTCCTGCAGAGCCGCGCAGAGGCGCGATCTGTCACCGGCCGTGTACCTCGGACACGGCCGATGACAGATCTGAGTATCAGCCCCCGTTGCCGGTACCATGTGACCTGCTGTGACCAATCACAGCAGGTCACATGACAGTTGTATACAATGGATGGCTTCATTCATGCCATCCATTGTATACTAGTGTCTAGCTGTGAATGGTCCCAGAGATCACATGCACATGTCATGTGATTAGCTGTGGCCAAATCACAGCTAAGCACAAAAAAAAAAAAAAAAAGCCCTGAATGAATCGATGTCATTCAGGTAAATGCTTGCTTACAGCAAAGCAATTCTTTGCTATAAGCAAATTGTGTAAAAAAAAAAATACTGATCACTTCCCCAAAGTAGTACAATGTTACTACTTTAGTCATAGTGAAATATGAAAAAAAATCTTAAAAAAAAAGAAAAAAATGTAATAAAAAAAAAAATATATATTTTTTTTTTATACTGTCACCAGTCAGTGTCCATGATCACCGCCATGCCAGTTATATGATGATGCTGTACTGCACTGGTGACAATGTGTAAAAAAAAAAATAGTGAAACTAATTTTTTTAATTTTTTCATTTTCCGAAAAATTATGACAAAACAAATACAACTTCAAAAAACTCGCCATTCCTCTTATGAAAGGGGTCATTTGGGGGATATCTGTACTGTCCTGACATTTGGGGGATATCACTTCCTGACATTTGGGGGATATCTGTACTGTACTGTTTCTGACATTTGGGGGATATCTGTACTGTCCTGACATTTGGGGGATATCTGTACTGTCCTGACATTTGGGGGATATCTGTACTGTCCTGACATTTGGGGGATATCTGTACTGTCCTGACATTTGGGGGATATCTGTACTGTCCTGACATTTGGGGGATATCTGTACTGTCCTGACATTTGGGGGATATCTGTACTGTCCTGACATTCGGGGGATATCTGTACTGTCCTGACATTCTTGGACCTCAAGAAATTAGATTGGTCGTCAGTACTTCAGGATTGATCAATATTCAGATCTATCCCATAGTTTGTGAACTCTATAACTTTCCTACAAACTAAAAAATACATCCTAATTTGGGTTATTTTCACACCAAATACATGTAGTAGAATACATCTCAGCCTAAATTTATGAAGAACTATTATTTATTTGCAAACTTTTATAACAGAAACTAAGAAAAACGTGTTTTTTTTTTTCAGAATTTTTGGTCTTTTTTTGTTACTTTAGTAAAAAAATAAAAACCCCAGCAGTGATTAAATACCACCAAAAGAAAGCTCTAGTTGTGTGAAGAAAATAATAAAACTTTAGTTTGGGTACAATGTTGTATGACCGCGCAATTGTCATTCAAAGTGTGAGAGCGCTGAAACCTGACAACTGGCCTGGGCAGGAAGGTGTAAAATTGCCCGGTATTGAATTGGTTAAGAGTTGGGATTCAACTGATGAAGTACTTTTTCAACCACTTCTGTGCTGTGAAGTTAGGTGCATATGAGCATTCATTCCCATTTTAAAGCTGATTGTGTATGGGGATTATACAGTAGAGCTATTAAGAAGAATCTTGACAATTTGCATCAATGTAGAATCAAGGATGCACACTTCTAGGAAACTATCCTTGCAGTAAGGTAGAACTGGAGCTTAAGTTTGGATTGGAGCTCTGTGTTCTACTGGGTCAATTTATCTTTACTTCTTATCCAAAAGACACAATTGGAAATTAGAGGAAATCCCTCCAAAGTAAGGGAAATCCTCTCCTAGAATGTTGTCAAGGTCTGTCCCCATTAGAAGACCTCTATTCCTCCTCAAGTGACAACTCATAATTTTTCATTTTCTTTCACTTTTAGTTCCTGTGAAAATAGTCAACAGGACAGATAGAAAAGGTGAATTTCTCTAGCAGGGATACAGAGAACCATAAAAACCCAACAGAGTTTCTTACCCCTCTCTACTTCAAAATTAAAAGTGGAAGTCCGATCAAAACCTAACTAAGTTTAACCTCCTTAGAGGTTTTCCCGAGTGTAGCTCGGGGTAAAATTTCTATACCACAAGCGGTAACCCCAAGCTACACTCGGGCTTACCATGCGGCGCTGCTCTGGGGGTCCCTGCAGCACTTACCTTGTCCTTCGCTCCCGCGATGTGTCCCCTGCAGCGTCCCCGGCCATCTCCTCCGGCCGATGCCGGCATCCGTGTTCCGGTCCCTGTGACGTCGGGACGTACGGGCGCCGGGACCGGCAAGAAATTTAAAATTTTTTAAAAATGTCATTTTTGCTGTCGTTACTGTTTCAATGCATTTCACATATATTTTGTCCCTACTGCTTTGTCCGGCGCCCTGCCTGCATTTTGATTGTTCTTTCTGCCTGGAAACTTAGAAAAGTCCATGGCGTCCAAAAAGCATCCCTTTACATCAAAACCGGTTTTAGAACAGCGATAGTAAATCAGAACCACTTGCAGAATTGAGTGATGATGATTCGTGGGGAAAATTCGTCATCAGACACTGAAAACGATTGTGCGACTTTGCTCAGTGATGTGAGAACTTGGCGCTCTATTTCAAATTTCAGTGTTTTTGGTTTGATTATATTATTGAATTAAATTTATTATTATTATTATATATTATTTTTTATGATTATTTATTCAATTATAATTTATGATTTCGGGTTTCAAATTTTATCCTACCCGGGATGTTTACTAGACTCTTGTTCGGACAGATTTCAGTGAGTTATTCCTAAAAATTACAGGCCTACAATAAAAAACTACATATTTCCATGCAACAAAATGGTACCGCTTTCAGCACAAAAAAAATTGGAAAGAACCATACCGCCAGGGAGGTTAAACCTGCTCCCATTCCCATTCTAAGGCCTATACCAAGTACCCTGTAAGGGAAAGATGTCTATACTTAGCTAATCGTAGGGCGCTCTGGTCCGGTCATGTAGTTTCGCCAACATCCGGCTTCAAGGTAGAGAAGAGAACAGCAACAACGGGTGCAGAGCTACCGCAACGACGTCACCCATAGACTTACTACAGTTGTCCATTGTCCCTTAGATTCTTCCCTGAAGCCTGTGCACCAGACCAGAGTGCCCTTAGATTGGGTAAATATATACATCTTCCTTTACAGGATAGTTAGTATAGGGCCAGTGGCGTATTTCGGTTTTGTGCTGCCCTAGGCAAAACAAAAATCATTTGCCCCCCATGGACACCGACCAACACAACCCCCCCTTCTTCCTCCCGCGGAGAGAGCCTGACCAACAACACCCCCTGCTGCCCCCCACCTGGAAAAGTCTTCCAGTACCCCCCCTTCCCCAGGCGATAGAGAGACACTCATCTTCACAGCTCCACACATCCCCAGGATTGAGAGCCAGGCTCTACATACACCATCAAGCAGCCCGCAGCTTCTCTTGGATCCCACCTGGTTCCCATGGTGGCTTGTCCCTTCTTTCATCCCTTCTTCTGGGGAGATGTGCTGCCCCCCTGAAAAATGCCGCCCTAGGCAAGTGCCTTGTTTGCCTTGTGGTAAATACGCCCCTGTATAGGGCTTAGAATAGGGGTGGAAGCAGGTTAAAGCTTAGGTTTTTGACCGGACTTGCACTTTAAAATAAGACTTTGAATTTAGAAACACTTCAACATCTTCCCAACCCCGATCATGAATTAACATCCTCCCAGCAAGTTCCCCCTCACAGGAGACCCTGTCTGATCTATCTGTAACTACTGTGAGTGGCAATAAAAACAGATTAGGGGGTTTGAAAAAGAAGGTCTGTGCCCAAGAACAACATTTCCTGCTGCCTGTTACATTGTAGTAGCTTCCCTTTGCTTGCTGCAGCCTAAGCTGGGAAAAGAGAAGGAGAGCTTTGTGACAGGCAGTATAGTGTGAAAAAGGAAAAAAAATACAATAAATATACTACAAATAATATAATAACATAAACAGCATAACCTAATATAAATAAACATAGCAATAAATAATATACCAACATAATAATATAAATAAAAATTGTACTTATTGAAATCATCCATGAATTACAGATATTAAAGTGGTTTTAAACCTTCCCATTTTTTTATTATTAAAATAACAAACATGTCATACTTACCAGCCCCAATCCTCCATTTTTCTGGGCCCCTGTTCCTGGCTCCTTCCCCTCCAAGTGCATACTCTGCTCTGGGGGCACTCCTGCATGCTTGCTATGTATGTCTATACAGAGCGTGGCTTTGCCCCTCCCCCGATCCCTTATTACTGACTGCGATTGACAGCGGCGGGACCCAATTGACTCCCTCTGCTGTGTCTGAGCCAATAAGGAGAGGGAGACCAGGGAGAGCCTCGACTGTCATGCACATCGCTGGATCGAGATGGGACTTATGTAAGTATTAGGGTGGCTGAGAAGGGAGCTGCACATTGAAGGTTATTTACCTAGAATTCATGACGGTAAAAAAACTTCAGCCTTCAGAACCACTTTAAATTGAGAGAACAGAATTGGAAAATACCTAATATTTTGAAATCTAAAACATATTTTTTGATTGACAATATAGCGTTGACAGATGTATCAAAACCTACATATGTCTGGGGTTCCTGTACTTAGAATAAACAGGAAAAAAATATTTCGATGAAAATATTTTAAATCATTTTAAGTGTATAAAAAGCATTACAGATATAACAAACTAAAGTTGCATTTTTTAGCAAGTTTGCCCATTTCCTTCATATATTATGTAAAAAAAAAAAAAAATATAATAATAATATTAGTAATTTAAAAAAAAAAAAATGTATGTAAATAATATAAACTTTGGTAAATTATATTAATAGCAGATCAATATATTCCAA